ATTATATGTATATGCTTGTACAGCTTTTTTGTTTTAATTTATTACATTATTTATATTTAATATGTATGAGTTTACGTGACAACCTTGGGTGCCGTAAAAAATTTGGTCGCGCCAATTTATTACCTCCTACACATAAGGTTCACGTACATTTAGATGGACAGTAATGGTTCATTCATCAAAAACGATGAGTCAACCGTATATACGGTTCTTTCTAATCATCCTGGCTAGAACACACGCTGCGGCTAGAAAATAGACGTGTACGGTACAAGGGCAGAAGCAAAAGAGAAGTACGTGTAAACATTTTGAATTTTTCAAATTATTTTCTTTATAACTATTTATAGCGAAAATTTATTGAGCGCACGTAAGTCCAGCACAAAAGATAGAACGTTAACAAGATTGACGAACTATCGCGTGGCTTTAATGCAGGTAGAGCCATTTGGGAAATAAGATCGAATGCCGCCTTCAACCCCTCAGGATGGATAGAACACCTGTAAAGTAGCACAATGTAGTAAGTGATTAACCTTAGTGTTGCTCACTCCACCCTTACCCAGTAGTCGCCTTAGATCCATATCCTGATTATCCAGCCCCGTCGGAGAAAGTCGATAAGTGACTCACGGATATATGTATGTACACGCCCGCGGCAACTTGGCAGGCTTAATTAATGAACAAGCAGCGTATTCTGTGTGTGTGTATATAACTATCGCTGCCCATCCCACACAGACGCTTCCGTTCGTGTAATATAATTAATTTTTATCGTCATTCTGCTCATATAGTAGTACCTCGCGCATAAACTGTCTCCGCAAAACGTAATATAGTTTTCCATGATGCATATTGTAATCTAATTATAATCTGTTATATATAACAGATTATATATATATACATATATAAAATATAGATTATATATAATTAGATTATAATTAAATAGATATTATTATTGTACAATTATAATTTGTATATTATATTTTAACAGTTCAATACAAAGTTACATTATATTTATATATGCGACACTATTATATCAAATCTATGATTCAATTAAAATATGACCTATAATTATCTATATATAAAAACTAGATCTAGAATGTTTGTCTGTAATGTTCCCTATTAATTCTTAAACCCTTTGACCGATCTGAATCTTTTGCATGGTTACTTTCTAGACCCCTGCCGAAAAGGCAGGAAACATAGAAATCCCTTTTCCCCTAATTTCATCCCTATGACATTTTATGATAATAGATAATTTAAGTTTAGTCCATTTATTATATAAGTAAGCGTTACGTTACCCGGGTAACGCCGGGTATTTCAAGCTATAAATATAACTACACAATGTAACTTCGTCGGAAAGAAACGTCAATATTATTTTCATTATCTCGGGGACAATATTCAGTTTAAAGATGATGTCACTAAATGAAATCTGCATATAGTGCCCATTCGCGCGAAACGTCAAATTATACGTACGAACCCCGCAGGCAAAATTAAAGGTCTCATACTCTTAACAATATGTCAATAAAAGACATCTCACGAGTCTTATTGTAACGGCAACGCGACACAGTGTCGTGTAAATGGAGCTTCTTCGTGCCGTCAACCTATTACGCCGAGGAACAGGAATAATTACATCACAGCCGGGTCAAGCGCCCTTGCATCCAGCGCGCGACACCGACGTTTAACACATTACACGTTGTTCTTGCGGTTGTTGTGCTCGCGCGATCGAGAGCGAAAGAAGGTGTGATCGGCGACGGCGGCGACGGCGGCGACGAGGACGACGACGACGACGGGGTGTAGCCGGTCCTGCCTTGCTCGTTGCCTTGTATGGATCAACCTCGCGCACCGTCGTCATCTCGGAGAGGAGAGAATAAAAAAGCAAAGGAAAGGAAAGATCGCGCGCACACACACGCATACGATCGCGCGTTCGGCCCGCGCACGCGTGCGGCGTCGTGGTTTTGCGTGATAACGCGGTTTCGTCGGCATCGATCACGACATAGCTGGTGGTTTTTATCGTAATTATTATGTGGCCGCGGCACGATTCTCGGGACCGTGCGCCAAGATCGCTGTATAAGTATGTCTGTCCTTTTCCCGATCGCGCCGCGCAACACGACCGCATATCCGACATGCAAGTGCGTCGACGATCCTCTCGACGCTTCCGCGGAAATGCTTCCCGTTGTATAAGTGCGATGCCCTAATCGATCGTTGATTAACGGTTTCAGCGAACGCGGAGGATAACGTTTCTTCACGGAAAAGAACATTTCTCAGCTGTTTCTCTCCACAGAACGCGGCGAGAAACAGCTGAGAAATGTTCTGTGCGCTCAGCAGGTTGCGTGTGCTACAAATAACAGGGAGATTAAGCTGTTGGTTTAGATTAGTTTTAATGTTTTATAAAAATCTATCATTTATGGTTCGCACGATTCACAGGCGAGGCGAAAAGATTGATTGCGATGCGTCAGAGGGCTTGACGTAAGTCGACAAAAGCCTTTCGTCAATCTTTGCCGCGAGAGATTGCGTAATATCCGACCGAAGAACAATCCACGTGGATACGCTCGGCTTAATGCCCCATGTCTATTGTCCTTCGTTGGCTTTGCTATTTAAGCAGCGAGTGTCCGCGAGCGTAAACGCCGGCGGGTGACATCACGTCCCCCTTTAAAACCAGATCCGAGCACGTTCCCGCGCGCGCGCTCCGCGCCGCGACGTCGGGAGGAAAAAGTAACGCTGGCGTCATTACGCGGTTGGGTGTCGCGATAATTAACGATCGATCTGTATCAAGCGAATATTTAATGCCGCTTCCATCGCGGCTTCATGCGCCGGAAGCGATTCTCTCCTGCGGTGCGTCGATGATTAGCGTCGTTGTGTTACGAGGAGTATATGTGACATCATCATTGTTTAGAGTTGATTTTTATTTTTTATTCTCAAATCAAAATTTTAAAAATCATTTTTAAAATGAAGATAAATATAATCGAGGTCTACTTAATAACAATCTTGGCGATCGATAATTCTAACATTTTCAATGCCTTTATTCTCTTCTCTGCAATAAATTTAGAACTGACAAAAACTCTGTAAGCCAAAGAAAAAGAATTGTAAAAAAGATAGAGAAAAATCACAAGGCTAGCTCAATAATATTTTTCAACGTTTAACGCTCAAGAGCACAGGATTTCTATTCCATCTAATTCAGATTTGCTGAAGTTAGTGATTATGCAACGTGCTATTTATGTCATGTCAAATATTAATTTGAGATCACAAAATCTGCATACAGAGTGACTGCAGTTATTTGCATAAATATACCTTGTAATGCTTTTTTTATACGTTTTCAATCATGGCATCAAGTTTTTACACATGTGAACGTTTTAACTTGATTACTTTTTACCGATATTACATCGCGTTTATCATAATTAGTAGACGCATCGAATAACTTGACGTGAAACTATATGAAGGGATGATTAACTGACAAAATGATGTCATTCTAACGATTCTTTTCGATGCGAATGCCATTGAGTTCATTATAATCAGTGAAAGCCTATCCGAGTCGTATGTTCATTTAGATAGGCATTGTTAAATATGTCGTTAAAGACAAGCTCTTAAATCTTAATCGAACTCGATCAACTCCGATCGCGATCGTGCGAATCTAGATGTTCAAGGTTCAAACTGTTAATCGTCCTGACTCAAGCTCAGTACTCCTACGGCTAACCTTCAGCCTTTAATGTCAGGCCTCGGGCTTAGTCGATCGCGCGCCGGCACATAGGTATGTATCATGTATCGCCGAATGCCGAATTCGCACCTGGTAACAGATGAACGCGCGCGACATTCTGTATATGTACGCATGTCACAGCGCAGGGTGAACATGAGTCATGGTTATCGACCTTGATAGGGGCGGTGGTTGCGTTCCTACCCTAACGTGACTCTGGAATTTCCGCGAGCAAGAGAGGAGCCGCGCGAAGCGCACCTTGCGATGAAGCGATTGTGATAAGGGGGTTACTGCGCGAAGTTACCCCCTGAGTCAGAAGTTGAGTCACCGTCAAAACGATCAATTTATCGTCTATATATATGTACACGCGCGCGCCAGGGCGAGTCGCGTGCGGTTTCCATTTCTGCGGATGATAAACCTACTGAAGCGACCAGTTAATTGTAGTTCGCTACGATTAGCTTTAGAACGTTGGTCTTGTGGCCAATTTTTTCAATTACAATCGTCATCAAAAATAATAGAAATATTGAGCTAAAGATAAATTGAATGAAGTAGCGAGAGTATTTTTAAAGAAAATTCTATAATTGCGGTAATTGAAGAGAGAAAATTATCGCAAGTCGTTATCATAAAGTTGTAAAAATTATATAAATACGAAATAAATGTTGATGTTCGCGGGTTTTCTTTGTTTTAATAAAAGTATATGTATAAATAAATTAATGCGATTGGCGACTGATGAGAAGAGCCGAGACCTGAACAGACCAGACCTTGCCCCGCCTGGCATTTTATTGATCCTAAGAAGGTGAACGACAACTGATGCGCCTAAATGCTTCCGCAGGCGTATGTCCCCGTTCATTCGTCTCATTACTGACGTAATCAAGCAGTCGAGAGTTAAGTTAGAAGATATGTCATTACGTACTAAAACATTAGGCCTTTAAAAGGTCTTGGTTACATTAAAACAAACACATATTTACGATTGATATCATTTATTTGTAGTAAGGCAGCTAGTCCCTTTAATTCTAACTTATAATTTTAAGTATCTAATTTTTTTCTAATTCTTATTGTGGATACTTATTTTATACAAAGTTGATTACTTTTATAAATAATAATTAATAGTATTTTACGGCAAAAGTTTAATTATAAGCAATTTATTACAATCTCTCGTGTAATAAAATGTATAAAGCAGGATATATAATTATTTATTCATATTATGCTGTATATACAAATTTGCGAATACATGAAAATCTGTACAGAAGATTTTGTGTCATCAGACGATTTTTTTCGTACAATAGGAAGAAATAAGTATAATGAAAATTTAATAGCAAGTATAATGAAATGTTTGCTCACGTGAGACGGTCATGAAAACCACAGTGTCCACGGCGAAATCGCGCGACTCGCCGCTGCTGCTTCTGGAGACTTCGTCCCATCTCGTTCATATCCAGGCCAAGATTTTGACATACGGCCACTTTCTCGTGGGATCGAACGATAAGCAGGTTCGAAAACAAACGACAATGTCCCCATGCTCGCCGTAAATGGCTTCGTTTTCCATTGCGGAGGTCGCCGACATGTATAGGTCGCGATGAAGAAGGACGAAGTCGATAAGTCGCTCGATATCCGATTCGGAGGCAGGATTACATCTATCGTCTGGAGATGGAAGATAAAGTGTTCACGGATTCTTGTTTATCTAGATTTTTAGTAAAAAATAGCAAAAAAAGAGACATTTTGCATTTAGTGATCTGTCTAAAAATAAATCCATTTTGTACTGTAAATTGAATTATATATATGTGATCGACACACAAATAAGCGATGACGTAAATATACCTTCGATTTATAACAGAGTCCATCATTTTATCGTATAACACTATGATTAAGTTAGATACTCAATTATTTCCCGCTTTACCTTTTAATTATATTGATCGTTCGTGGATGACTTAATGTAATCGATAGTATAGCTATATATGTTACGACGATCGTTATTCGATCGCTTACATTACATAACGTGCCGCGTCAGTACCCATTTCGATGCCATTTAAAGGCAATAAAGGCACCCCACTTAACGAAGAAAGGATCGAGAGTCTGGAGTTACACGCTGAGAGCACTCGCCTAAAACGAGACGTCTGGGCCGTACAAGGAGATCTCGTTAGTCGCTTTTGTCATGCTGCCACGTCGATAGAATGCATCCGTGCGCGGAGCAACCCAAATTCAGAATGATCCCGAGACATCCGATATATTGTCGCGCGCTAAAGAATTAACTTGCAATTAATTAGATTAAGTCACAAATAATAACTTCGAACGGCGGGGTAAAATACAGAATTATCTTATTTATCATGAGCTGTTTATATTACAAGCTATATTTATCTACCGACATAAATTATTCAAAATTAAGGAACACACCAAAATTGGCATTGGTTACTCAAGTGCACGCCCACGTGCGAATTCGAGTTACCGCTACTCGGAGGTAACCCGAAATCCGCAGGATAAAACTGATTAATTTATCGTTGTACGTCCGGGGGCTTAGCAACTTTACGTACGGTATACTCGTGAGAAACAAGACAGCTCGGTTTGTTTTATCGTTATGGTTCTTGAGATTAAAGACCGGGGGATTTTCGTGAGAGGTACACCCGCGGATCCCGGCGGATCCTCCTTTCACGCGCGCGCGTTTCTCCTCCCTCGCCTTTTCGCCTCGCGAGAGGCGAAAAGAAAGGATACGAAGGTGTCTGCGAGGGAAAAAGAGGGCCGGAGGTTTACTTGATCGAAGAGCGAGAAACCACACTTGCCCATATTTGGCTACACCCGCATGCAGTTTACATTCCGCGCCTTTTTATTGCTTTCTTTCGATCGTCCGCACCTACGTGCTCCTCCTGTTGCGTCGGCGAGCGTGTCTGCGATTTATATATGTATATACTATTCCCGTGGAATTTTTATCACCCTGATAACGTGACCTCGCTGTTTTTGAAGAATGCCGCATAATTCGCGCGTTTTGCGCATTGCAGATTGCGATCTGTCAAAAGTACAAGTCTATTATTTCATCGATTAGATATCGATGAGGGAAATATGAGGTAAGAGGTTATTGTTAATTTAATTTTTTTATTTTGCTAGATTGATTAGTTAGATTTGGGAAATAATGATCTCAATGAGATATCTCGATGATACTTGCACTTGGAGATAAAATAATAAACAAGAAACTTCTTGATAGCGACAAGTATATTTTTCATAAAGTACATACGTTCTTTCATAAGTGAGATACTACAGCGTATCCTTCACAGAAAGAAGGAACGTTTCTCTAAAAATAAACCATTTGTTTGTTTTAAATAAATCGTTGTTATCGAAAAATGCAGATATTGGAAGAGAATATAGATTTTTCCGATTACAATATATATGATATAAACAGTGATGCACATAAATGCACTTGATGCGTAGGTATGAATATATGCATTTTTCTACGCGATTCTACGTTATTCCGGTAGAATTTATAAGCGAGGGATGTTCACGTGGCTGCAATGCAAAGAATTGAGACGCGCAGTTTCTCCGGGAGACGCCCCGGGAACATGACTTCGGAATATCTCAATAAAAATTTAAATGTGGAAATAAAAAGTGCAGAATCGTTCTTTTTCGCGTACGTAATTGGAATAATGCACTCACGTGGATATAATTTATTTTTTATATTATGCAACCACTCGTGACTTGCATTTACGAGGATATCCATCTCCAAAAATTTAACTATACAAAAATTCGCAATTCCTAATAAGATACAATTAAAGGGATTATATAAAAGAAGAACGTCATATATTTAACTTATATAAACAAGAAAAGTACATTCTAGATTTTATATTTTAAAGTAGATTTTAAGAATTGTAGACTTTTCTCCATTTCGATATTGCTTCGCGTATTTAAAATAGATTTTACAAATTGTGTATTTATTTCATTTTCTTTCAGTTTCCATTGTGCGACAAATAACTTTTTAATACACAACATACTTTCAGCTTTATTTTTAATCAACTTCCGAGATAGTCGGAAGCGAGAGCAATTGAACTTTGAACTATATTATCTTCTGATCGAAATGGGTCGGTATTAAACGCTCACGACCCATGCCTTCTATTCAATGTAATATTTAATGTAATGGTAAGTGTTATCTCTAGTTTCGATACTGGGTTACACGAGACTCTTATACAAAGCGCTATTTGGGGTCGCGCATGTTGCTGTTTGGTCAATCCCCGTTCAATATACGGCCGCGTTCGATCGTCGGGCAAGTCGAACGACGAAAAAGCGCCGTGTACTCTCTGGCCCTCTTTGGATATAAAGGCACTTGTATAATAAGTGGCACAAGACCGCTTTCTAACTATGTGCGAAGGATGTCTCGGTACATATCTCGAATGTAGCACGCTGCAAGCACTGGCAAGAGATCCATAGATCGATTACGATTTGATTTTTGATATGAGACAAACTAGGAAAGAAGTGATTGAAAACACATGATTAAGTAACTCCGATATGATAATAACAGATAAAATTGTATGTATTAAAAAATAATTATATGTAATATATAATTAATAATATATAGGTACAAACTAACATAAAAAGATAACAAGATATTAAGTGATTATATCATAATATGTTAATTGAAATTAAATTGTTGATTGATTATTCCAGTAGTAAAAGCAATGTATAATTATCAAGAAAAAGTTGATGTCATCTAGCTGTTGATGTCATCAACATATCCAGCTAAAATTAAATGTAGATGCATCATTCTAAACAGCAGTGCACTTTGTGCTTCGAGAGCGTACGATTCAAGATTAAATGTCACACGTATCAAATGATTTTGATATCACGCAGTTGATGTACGATTTTATGCATGTGTGTAAGGGCTTTGCCTGCGATGTTGTACAATAAGTGGATTATTTAGCATTATTCGCGAATTTGTTATTTGAATATTTCGGATATTATGTAGTAATCGTGAATTTGGGTCTTCCAGGTATACTTGGACTACTTTTAATCGATCGATAGTAGATATTACTTGATTCTCGGGAGTACGTACAAATCACCTGACTCATAATGACCGCTCTAAATTTCATTCTCAATTTCGACCAAATATAATTTACAAAGGATATTTAACTCATTAAATCATCGAATCTGAAGATAAAACATGACTTTGCGTGAATGTAAAAGGGGGAGACAAGCAAAGAATGTTTTAATACAATTTTATTAGAAAACTATGTAAAATAATACGCAATATAATATATATAACAAATGCCACCACACATTCACCGTCATGTACGAGATATATTATGTATAGTATGTATACCTGTATGTGCGTATCACAATAAATTATCACAGTTTTGCTTGATCAACCAGAAAATCTGTAACCAAACTATTGAACTCTTCGGGATATCTTAAGTGAAGATTATGTGCGCCTTTCTCGAAGATATGCAGTCTGTAAAGAAATACAATGGAAATTAGTAAAAAGACATTGTAAATTACGTTGCTTTTTTTCAAGTCTATAAAGATAGGTACGAACTTCGAGTCGGCGATATTTTGCTTCAGATATTGTGGATGTTCCGGCAGGACCATCGCGTCTCTGGCTCCGTGAATAATTAAAGTCGGACATCTTATCTTCGATAAAACCTGTTTGCACAGGTCGCCGTTTTGCTTCTCGTACAATCTCAGCACACCGTCTATCCAATTCGACCACGTCTTTTTGAAATAATCCTCACCGTAGACTTGTATCATGGGTGTCCTCATTTTTTCCGACCATTTGTTGATGTCCCTAACGCCTGGACAATAATATCTCATGAAGCGCGAGAGAAAGAAGTGAAATATTTAACGCGCTCTCGGTAACGCGATGGCGAAACATCACGTCGTACTTGTAAAGTTGAATTGTTTCGAAAAAAATTAAAACTATACACTTTAGTGACTTTATACGCACTGTTAAATTCGTGCTGTCAAATTATACTCAATTTGAATTATTTTTAACTAGACCTATAGATCGTTCCTATTCAATACTGCTCCTATTCAATATGTCGTTAATATAATTAAAACAATGTTACTTTAACTAAACTAATAAAATTAAAATATTACTGTTTTGCGTTAAAATAATAAATTTCAACATTCACGATTCGACATAGTTAAAAATAACAAAATTATTTAACTCAAGGTATCGGTTTAAATTTCATCCTTCAATATTTAACAGTATACTAAATTTCAACAAATTTAGAGATTCCGCAATTCTCTTAGATCTCGGTACCTTTTGTAAATAACGCGATTTCGACAAGTTGCGTTGTTAAACGCTATAGAAAAGATTCTTTCTCTGACTCTACGATGTCGCAGTCGTACTTTCATATATCTTTATCTCGTCTGGATGTATGTACGCGTTCGCGCCGAAAACAACCATCTTGCGGATGCTGTCGGGATACGTCGCGGCAAGCAGAAGCGATGTGATGCCGCCGTCGCTCCAGCCGATGAGAGAAAATTTCGAATAGCCGAGGGTCTGCATCAGGTTGTGGGCCCACGCGGCGTCGCGCTGAAAGAAATCGTCCGGGAAGGTCCTGTCGGGCGGTCGCGACTTTCCGTAACCGGGCGGATCCCACGCGACTACGGTTAGCTTCTCCGCGTTCAGATTCTCCATCTGTGGCCTAAAATCGGTCCATATCGTTCCTGAAACATCCATTTTGCTGCATTATAAATCTCCCGTCATACATCACCGTCTTGGTGAACAAAATATGTTAAACAGTTTCGCCAGCAAGTTCGAGCGGAAAATTATTGCGTCTGCATTCAATATGTATTCTGCCAGCGAAATCTGCCAATAATACAATAATCTAGCAGCAGATGCCGGAAACAGAGTAGAATCATCAGTCTTTTTTTCATCCGTCATTTTTTCTCCAAACACAAATAGCATTTATGTTAAAAATTTATGTTAAAAATATGCAGGATTGCAGCTTCGCATAAAATTGTAATTTCATTGACGCTAGAAACCAGCGGCAGCGTCAAGAAAATATAGTGGAAGAAGTTCCTTTGAATTTTTGCGGTACGCTAAAAAGTTGAGACGGTCTGAACTTCTTCCTCCACTACATTTTCTTGACGCTGCCGCTGGTTTCTAGCGTCAATGAAATCGCACCTTTATAAATATAATAGAAAGCGACAAGCCAAGCAGCCAAGAAAGCAATTAAACTTGTAATAAAAAGAACAGCAGAAATGAGAATTCAAATTATCTGGCGGCAGAAAATTACTCTGAAAATAGTGAAAATTTGATTTTTTTTTTTTAAATCATCACAGTAAATGGAAGTAACGCTATCTTGCTTTTCATCGAACAATTCACAAACACTATATCCGTATTTACAGCCCGGTAGATGGCGGTAAATGCCGATAAAGTGAATGTTATCTATAACTATCCTAGCTTCAATATGCATAAACAATTATTGCACAATTCGTCTTACCCAAGGCGCCAGGTAACAACAGCACCGGATGATCACCTGTCCCGACCCTAGCATAATTGATTTCCGTGTCGCCCACTTTGACCTTTCGTTCCTGTTGACGAGAATTTTATACTCCGTTTAACAGGGATAGGTCGAGGAATGGTCCAGCACGAAGTGGCAGATCGATTAAACATCAAGTAACTTAACAATTTCTCTCACGCTTCCGTTTTATACGCTCGCGTTTCTCCACATACCTCCATCTCACGGGCTTTATTCGCTGTGGTTGATAGCTGCCGAATGCGCATCACGGATCCGCTACCGGATTTTACGATTTTACATAACACACTCGCGAATTGAGCGTACATCGTGCGCGTGTTGGACATATACGTTTGTGATCAAGTGAAGCCTGTGAATGGGTTGTAGCGTACCGCGGACAGCGCGCATCGCGGTATCGTGTTATATATCAGCATCGCAGACAAATGTACTTCAAATATGTGCACTCTGATAAAGTGTTGCGATAACACGAGGATGATAATACGAATGTTTTTTTTTTGTTTATTGCCGCTGAGAATCCATCCCTCTCCATCCTCCTTTTCCTATCTAAAAAAATCCTATCTAAAAAATAAAAAAATCTAAAAAAAGGTCTAAAAAAATCGATACTCGCATATCTCGAATAAGTTTATTATTGCCGTTTTTCCGCGATGCCGATTGGTTCTCTATCGCTTACTTCGTGAGCTAGAGCAGCTATCATCGTATATTTTGTGTATATCAAGGAAAGCTAAATAGCGCGCGCGAAGCGCGCGTTTGTGATGTCTAGTATTAAAAAAAAAACTCCCTCGCTTTTATAGGTTCGTTTAATTCGATATGGCACCATGTATTACTTGTAAAAATAATGCAATCAATTAAGTTAAAATTTAATTTTTATTTAAATTATTATTTTATATGTATATAATGTAGATGAAATAAAGAAAAAGTAAAAATGAAAATGAGGAATATTTTTCTAGAAAATTCTAGAAAATCAAAGTTGATATTTTGCTAGAGGATAATAAAATTGGAAAAAAAATAATACATATATACACGATATTGATATTAAATCATGTTTTGAGGAGAATTGGAAATGAATTTTTAATGGTTGTATGATCATTAAAATATTTATTTTAGAACTATACAGTAATGGTAAAAATGCAAACAAATATCAAATGTAAATCTAATATACAGACGATGGCAGTAATCGAAAATATTTTATATATGTTGTATATACATATATAATTGTGTATATTTGATGTAAATAAAAATATATAATAATGTATATTTTGTATTTCTAAAAATATAATAAAACCTTTATTAATGATACGAAATACTTGTTTCGTAAGTAAGCAACACCTCTACATTTTTATATTGATTAAACTAAAATTCTAAAAACCGCACTTCTTGGAATTTTAAGTTTGGACACAAAAATTTAAATTTAAAAACTGAAAATCGACAAAGTATAATTAGCAGAATATAAGTAAAAAGGCCTCGCTATATTTAAAATTCGAGAAACGCTATTCCAAGACTTCCTAGAATTTTTAGTTCAGGATTGAATCTTGAAAATCTAAATTCTAGAAAATCGAAGTTGATATTTTGCTAGAGGATAATAAAATTGGAAAAAAAATAATACATATATACACGATATTGATATTAAATCATGTTTTGAGGAGAATTGGAAATTAATTTTTAATGGTTGTATGATCATTAAAATATTTATTTTAGAACTATACAGTAATGGTAAAAATGCAAACAAATATCAAATGTAGATCTAATATACAGACGATGGCAGTAATCGAAAAACCAAAGGTTTTTATATGGTAAATAAATAAATGTAGTGCAATTGTTTTAATGTCGGTGATTACATAAATTTATAAATGTTCTTACAAAAGTTCCTACAAAAATCTTGCGAGTTAAATGCAATGCGGCATATACATGTATAATTCATAATTCGTGAAGAAGAATTTCGTCAGTGTCATTGTTTCGAAAAAGAAAAAAAAACCCAATTTAATTTCGATGATGCTTAATAAACCCTCGAGAAAAGTGCAGGAAGTTCTGATCAATCGTACACTTAATTATAATCCTACCGCTGATAAGAATAATAATATTAAATGATTCAAAATGGATTATGGTCATGGCTTATCATGAATCCTGTTGATTGCGACTGCTCTGCGTTCGATCGAGTGCTCTGTGATATTCTTCCATCAGATACTTTTTGTATTTCGTCTGATTGCTCCACAGCTCCGCCGCTTCAAGATTAAGTGGGCTTTCGTTGTTAGGTTCTACACAACAAAGTACAACCCACAAATTAGTATCTTACACCAAACATCGATTTAACATACAATCATTTCATTCATTACTCACCACCAAGAAGGGACTGTATGGAGAGTAAAATGGTACGGACGTCGTACAACGCGCTCCACTTATCTTTCAATATATCTAGGCAGATGTTACCACCGGTATCTACATTTGGGTGAAAGCAGGGTGTGGCGAAGCGTACTATAGGAGCGCTATACGGATAGCTATGTGGAAATTCTAAGGTCAGTTTGTAGGTGAGACCGGCGTATACCTGCGACACATGAAATTTTCATTTTCAAACCTTTCTGTTTCTGTCATGTCAGAGGCATTAACGACACACTTAAAGTAAAGTAGTCTAAAATACAATCAATTAGAGAGAAAAAACGTCATCTATGGTCCAGATTGAATCTTGTAGTGTTGGTAGCCTAATAATAATCTGTGTGCAATTTATTGAGTTTGGAAAAAATATACCAAATTCACACAATGGCTGCGTTCAGCCGATACTCCGCTAGCCTAGCAATCGTGAGCAGTCGCTCGTTTCCTCTCCTTTGACCCAATGGATTAAAAGAAAACGAGCGACTGCTCACGATTGCTAGGCTAGCGGAGTATTGGCTGAACGCAGCCAATATCCAGTTCGGACCATAAATGGCATTTTCCTCTCTAATTGATTTGTACATCATATAACGGTCTGTTTCACTTATTAATACAGTTTAAAACAGTTTGTCAGGCAGTCCTACCGTATCTCTTGGTCCTGTGATAGTCCCGATCCATTTAAACAAATTTTCTCCCTCTGGAAAGGCGGATACTCCTTGCTCGGTGTTCATCATCAGCACCATGAGTTCCTTTTGCAACCTGGACATACGATGGGCAAATTCAAGCATTTCTACGGTGTCTCACGCGACAAATTAGGAGTAGCGGCGAGAAAAAGGCGGAATATCGCAGAATCGAATCTCGTGGAATACTCCCAAGGGAACAAGGTGAGTTCGCAACAATCCGCTAGGTTATGTGATTATGACGAGCAAAGCGATATCGATTGCGTCACGAATTTCTGGATAAATTCGGAGGATCGCGAACGAGGGTTGATTCGAACGGGTCGATCGGAAGGAAGACTCGCGATTGACGCTAACGGGGCTCGATCCCGCGTACCGTTTGCTGACTGCGTGATTGTCCTTCGGCAGGCTCTGCTTCTCCTCGGCGGCCTTAGTCGGCGTGTTCTGCATCGAGCTGAACGGGTTCACGTTCTGCGCCATCCTGGGGCACCGGGGGTCCTCGCGTTCCTGGCGTGAATCGGACGAAAAGTATCGTCTTTACGGAGCGGGGCCCCTCTCCCTCTCTCTATCTCTCTCTTTCTTCGCGACTCCGACTCGATTGACGGTCACACACCGTCACAACAGCACGGCAGAAATTTGAATGCTGCACGCGTCCCTACTGCCCGGCTCGAAAACATCGAGCGGCAGAACAGCTGTTGCGTCGGGCGGCGGCGCCGTCGCGCGGATTCTCGATTCTCGTCTCGCGTCACTGCTCACTGCCCGTCGGCCGTCGCTCGCCGTGTGCGTCCGACTGCGTCCGTGAGTGACCGTGACTGACCGTGAGTCCGTGCGTCCCGTCGCGTGTCTCTCACACGGCGAATTTTTAAATCGCGAGCCACGGCCTCGAGATATCGCGGGACTCCCCAGGTGGTTTCCGAGCGCCCCGCGGTGATCGATAACTTCGCACGTCGCCTCTGGCACTTGTTCTCGGAACTGCCGAGAAAGCGAGGAGGATGGACTTCGAGGGGACGGACTCGGTTTAGCGCGATCGCGATATATCGATCCGAGACCCGACGTCTCTCTTTTTTTCTCTCTCCTCTTCGTCCCCGAACGTGATGATAAACGTGACACGATCGGGCGGTCGCAGTCCGGACTCTCGTGGCACGTAGCGTTCGAAGTCACCCGGTATAAACGCGTCGTGTTTCGCGTTGCGAGCGTTTCCGTGCCGAGCGAGCGGGTTGCGTTGCGGGCCGAGTGCGATGGGATCGCACGACGATGAGAGTGGACTTGCAACCTGGTGATCAACCCCGAGGTGAGGCGAAAGCATGGCGGCGGCGCAGAGCACGCCGGAGTCGGACACCGGGAGCTTCGAGTGTTTCAGAAACTACACGGCGCCGGAGGTGTTCGTGCAGGGCCTGGCCGGCATCGTCGACCAGCAGGACGTCGAGTCCATGATACGCGCTCAAAAGCAGATGTGAGTCGCCGACTTTCTCGAGATACATTAATGTAGCCCGGATGATACCCAAGTCTGTTGAAAGCAAATCTCGCCAAGTATCTGCTATTCTGCTACAAATTTTGTCGGCAGAATGCCAACAGATTTACAATAAGTATAACAGAGTCTGCTAACGTAATTAGACAGTAGATTGCGGCAGAAATTGAGCAGAACCAATCTTGCTGTCTGATTACGTTAGCAGACTCTTCTGGTAGAACATATGTTGAACGCAGTCGGTGTCAGTCAACTGCATGTCCGATCAAATCTGTTACCAATCTGCCGGCATACCCGCGCTATCATTTTGCTTGATTTATAATTCTTCTCTGTCGTACGTTCCCGCAGGTTGCAAAGGTTCGAAAAAACCAACGAGATGCTGACGAACTGCAATCAGCTGTCGGTGAACAGACTCAAGACGGCCGGTACGGAGTTCAAGAAGCACACCGCTCTTCTGGTCGAGATGAAGAGGGACCTGGATTATATTTTCAAGAAGATCCGCCTGATAAAGAACAAGCTGAACCAGCAATATCCACAGGCGTTCAATGGTAATTAATTAGATGGACGAATCGACGTGGAAAGTAGAAATATGATCCGTCAGTTTATATTTTCTGACCGTAACGAATGCGCAGAGGCGGTAAGGAGCAGCTTGGCGGAGGAAGTTATCGTGGAGGATGTCGATTGCCCGGTGAAACCCCTCGAGCCGGAGGTCGTGCCGCTGCCGTCCGGTCCGGCTCACGGCGCTGCCGATCAAGATCCCGATTCAGATGGTAATGAAACCTCCACTAAAAATAGTCATATCGCTAAGGAATAAATCGGACCTTCGGCGTACGTTTCAAATGTAAAACACTTAAAAATTACCCTAAGGAACGAACGGCCGATTAATTCAGGTAACACACGTTATATTTCTAATATGTATATTGGCGGAGGAGTGAACCGCGGAGGGAGTACGTTTGTGCTTTGTTGTAAGAGAGCAGAGAGAGAGAGAGAGACCTGTTTAGTCTGAACCAATTGTTTTTAAACACTCAGATGATTTTATTGTTGTGAGATGTATATGTAACTACATACTACATTAGCTATATACGTGAATGCATAAAAGACTATTTTAAAGAGAGTATTTCTACTAGAAATCGATGTTAAAACCGAGAAGTGACGTGTCTCGCTTCTTAAGATTGCGCTTTTACCTGACATCCCGTGCACTTCCTCTCGTTTGGGGGAGAGATACTAGTACAAATCCGCTGTAAAGGAGTATCAGTCGCAATAAGGCGAATCGACACTTTCCGACTTATTTACGCATATATTTTCGTTATTACTCGCATGTGTAAAACTGAATCGTCGCATTACTGACAAGCAAGTTTGCAATACAGAGATGGTACAAAGTAAATTTCCATACTAGCTTAGTTTACGGCAGGGTAGTTTGACCAAGAGCGTCGATGAATTGTGCAAATAATTTTTCTATTACGGATAAATAAAATAATGCGTGCCGTGTTAGATGTCCGACACGCTGTATAGATATCAGAGATAACAAGGACGTTGGAGACCGTTGAGAGTACGGAAGTTTACTGTTCTTTGAATGTTCTCTCCTTATTACGTAATTTTCATCGACTTACCGCGTAAGTATGTACATATCGCATAACAACATGCTTTCGATGTACGAGCCGATTTATTGCTTCTCCCAGCGCATAGCAAGGAAGCTTGTTCATGTGTTACATAGTGCATTATTGTAAATAAAGATCGTTCACTGTCTACCTCGTCGCACACACACACAGAGTCGTCTATTTCACGCTACTCCGATAGGTATGTCTACAACGATTTACAGTATTGATCGAAACACTCGAGAGAGCTGGTCTCGCAATCTCTGACGCTTTGACAGAATTCGCCTATGAAAGCTTAGGGACGTGGCTGGGCTAATAGAAATTAAATTAAGTCGTTTCGCGCGAGAAGATGCGAGGATTTGTGCAATACTTAGAGTTGAATAGAGGGATATGTACGTTGCCGTATCGATTAACAGAGCTTGGGGTCAAATGTTAATTTCTAATGTTAGTGTCTTAGAACGTCTACGCACGGAACACAACAATTTTGCATCCTGCGAACCAAAGTCAGGCTCAAGGTGCTCAAATAAATCCGTTGTATGCGCACTTTCCACTGTAAGATAATGCAATTCACAATGTAAAACGTTTCGGTCGGCCAAGAGAGAAAGAGAGAAAGAGAAAAATATATATAAGTGTTCTTTGTTCGTTTTTCGTTCTCGTTTTCCTGCGGCTTGATTCACTCCCCGATCAAAGCTATCCTATCCTTTCTGCGAAACGGAACAAAAATTACACAAAGTAAAAAGAAAAAAAAAAGAAATCGCGAACGGCGATGATTGGCCAGAGGACTAATAACATGACTTCCATTGTTGGTGTACAGTGCCGGTCGAGGAGTTTCAGTTCGCGAAGCTGCGCAAACGGCGAATAAAGAGTAACGACAGCTCGTCGACGGAGAGCAACAACGATCAGAGTAACGCCGACACGTCGTCCTGCACGTCCGACACCGGTTGAAAGAAAGCCGGACAGCCGGACAGTGAATGAGAGAAAGAGGGGGAGAGAATGAGAAACGCTTGTCACACATAATAATTGTCCCAGGTCGGGCTCACGCACCGGCGCCGCTTCGAAATGTTGCTCGGAGAGCGTAATCGGGCTAATCAATCCGACCAAGTCGATCGATCAAATCAATAAGGCAATAAAGGGGAATCGGGAGGCGCGGAATCTCTCGAGGCCGAGGGTGGCGTCGTTACGCCGTCGCCGATGCCACGCACACCATATCTCGATGTCATTGTGTGCGAGCTGCGAGTTTTGTGAATACTGTCAATGTTGAGCAAAATAAATTCTTTGTACATGGTAGAGCGGTGTTAATCAATTTTACACGACCGTTCCGGGGGATGCGAGCGAGAAGGAAAGAGAGAAGGAGAGAAAGAGAGCGCGGGTGTCCGCGAGGACACCCGGGATCTTTAATTCGCGAGTCTCATGTCGGGTCGGGACGGGCCGGAGTTGCCCACCACCTGGGGCGTTTCATTAGCGACGACGCAGCCGTCGCCGTCGTGAAATATTTCGCTCGTCCGGCCGGCAAAGGTGGCGCCGAGATTAATGCGAATGCTTTTCACGGGCTGCATCCGCGCCCGCCGCGTCGCGCCGGCTCTCTCGCTATACTTAGCCAGCGCGACACGCGGGTCTGGGGAAAGATTCACGCGTGCGACTTCTTTCGCCGCGTTATAATTCAGCAGGAAGACATTTCAAGTGTCCACCGCACGTGTTCGGCGCAACGAGGGTGCAGTGACCGACGTCGACGTCGTCGCTTCGACGAAATGCGAGGTAGTGTCGGGGCGTGCTGGGGAGGAATTCGCGCTCTTTCTTCCGCGCTCATTGATATTTAAATTAAAGGGAAAACGTTGCGAAACTAAGCAGGATGATGCGGATTTCATCGCCAGTGTCTTTTCGCTCGAGAATTGAGAAACGCGGTAAGCGTTTCGCGCGAAGTATATTTTTCGTAAAGCATATCCTTTTACGATTCTTTTTTTTTAATGTGAATTCTAAAACATTTATCTTTTTTTCGAAGCAGCTTTTATAAAAAGCAGCTTTTAAAAACAACTTTGCAAAAAACTAGATCTCCGTCTCTCTCTTCCTCTTTTTCTTTTTACCCAAGGTTCATTTGCAAGTCTTTCCACGGATTTCAGATATTTGCTCCGCGACCTTCGCTTTTCCCGGATTCTCCAGCGAAGCGGCGTAATCGCGCTGTAACCGGCGGTTGTAATTATTTACGGATTAACGGGATCCGCGCAAGCTGTTGCCGGGGGGAAATCCGCGCCGGTCGCGAATGTTAATTTTTCTTCTGCGGTTTGTTATCGCCCGGCGTAAAATATTGTTAGGAATCGATTTCTAGCTCTGCTTTCTACCATCGATGGTTTGTGCTATACACAGACGTCACGCGCGCGCGTGCATACACGCGGAGTGCGATGCTCTCTTGCGCGCGCGGGGAGGACGCCGGCCGTCGCGATGCCAGAAACCAGCTGCGCCTCAGCTGTTTTCTATCCATTCCGCCTTGCTTCCTTTCTCCCGAGGCGACGCGATTGGACACTTCGAAATAAAATCCTAGATGGACGCGACACGTGGAGCGTATTCGCGCTACGTAGAATTCATCCTGACGAGATTCGTGTATAATTAAACTCGACGCCCCCCTCTCTATGCGCGTAAAAATTTGCTCTGTACAGCATCACGTATCCATGTGTTAGCTTTGTAGATTTTTATAGAATATATGTATATCCCAAGAATTTTACTTAACACCATCATTAAGATTTTTAAAAAAGATTTTTAGTGTTCTTGCGTTAAGAGATTACAGGATCCTGATAGATAAGAGTAAAAGAGAGTTACGAAAAAAATTGGGGAGTTGTAAAAAAAGTTGTAAATTAATAGGAGTATGACCTTTTTGTTATGTACGTCTAATTACATTTGACAATATCTTGGTGTAAAACAATTAAATTTTTTATTAAATCAATCCTGTTCTGCTAAAGAATCATACTTTAACGGTAATTATCCTAGTCTCAACAGGAGTGATCTGAAATCAGTATAATTACATTTTTTTTATTTATTAGGGTTATAGTTATCGCGATTCATGGAGCGAATTTTTAGAAAAAAAAAACAATATGTCGTAAAATGAGAGTTATAATAAGGCAAATTTAATCTTTTCACTGAAAAAAATCGAGCTTATAAAAGAAACAAATAAGAGGTGATTTTGAAATTTGCGAGAAGCCTCCGTGAACCGAAGCAGATAATTATTATAAACATTTGTGTCAAATATGAAGTTAATCGAATAAACCGTTCTCAAGTTATCGTGGTTACAGTTAAAAAAAATTCTATTCTAAGAAATGGACACAGTGAAGTTAATATTTACTATAAAATCTAATTTTTTTATACCAAGATATTATTAAATATACTTAACAGACATAACAAAATAGGTATAACAAAAAATTCATATTTCTATTAATTTACAACTTTTTATATTTTTTCGACATTTTTTCTAATTTTACTCCCTATCTGTAACCTTTTAAGTTGCGCGAAGTTAAATTAGATCTTATTTATTTCAATCACATATTAATTTTTGACTTTTCATTATTTATTCAATTGGTCAACATTGCATTGGCGAAAATATCGGAAAGAGATAGCTCTATCAATTTTGTGAAGTATATTTTTTTCAGACGATTATTTGTCCAGTGAATATTATTCGAAATCTGAAATATATATCTTGCCGTTTTTTATATATTGCGACACATAATATATACGCATAAGTAAGATGCAAATAAAGTGCAGCGAAACGAGATGCGAAATATCCGAGATATTTCGCGTAGAGTTTATTCGCACGCATTATTGGACTATCTTCTCTCTTAAAGTCCCAAAGGGCTTGCGCAAAGCGCAATTCATTTGCGCGGAGCGCTATTGCGGATATTGCACGCGCGTGCTAACGCACCCGAGAAGAATGCATTTCGAGAGGAGGGAGGGCTCCGCCGTGGCGGTTAACTGCACTCCCGATAAAACGCGGAAACAGCTGTTTAATCTTATCCGGTCCACCTGCGCCGCGCGCTCGATATTTACTTTCATTCTTCCAGCGCGTCGCGTGCAGCACGCGCCGCACGCGCCTCTGAAGCACCACCGTCTTTTGTTGACACAAGCATAACAAAGCTTGTTTCCACCCGTCTTGGCACATGTGTGCCGCCCGCGCAGATAGCTTCGGGCTGGGCGCAAATTTGACAATGATGCAACATGTTGATTATTTGTCGACTCGCAGAGAAATTTTCTCTCGAGATTTTCGGCAAAAATAACGTACAGATATTTAGGTAGTAAACAAATTTCAAGTTAAAAAAATATGGGAGATGATTGGCAATGATTCGACATATTTATTATTTCTACAACGACCAGATATTGAAATCAATAATGTAATAAATCAATTGATAGTTAAAGAAACTTAAGAAATATAAAGAGACATTACGCACGATCGTTTAACTTGTTAATGTAAGTCCCGCGAGTTTTTCAGATTTACAATGATCATATCTTATATGCGTCGTCTACAATGGCAGCAGGAGAATGCAGTAAGGCGCGTAAGCAGTAAGCTATTGACCAACCGCAGTGGATTATTCTTGAATTGTAAAAATCCCATTAGTCAATAACTTACTGCTTACGTCTTACTGCATACTCCTGCTGCATTGTAGACAACGCTTTATGGTTCTACAATTTGCAATGCGGAGATAAGTGTATCGCACAAAACGGATTACGTCGCGAACTCGGTAGGAAAGACGCGGCAGAGCTACGTGCGCGCACGAAGTCTTCGGAAAGCCGATGGTGTTTTTGAAAGCCGCGATATTCCCGTTCCCCTTTTACTCGCGCATTGCCCGGGGTACATCTAGTTGACGCGGGCACAACGGCGACCGATGCAAAGTAATACAAAAGCGCGCTCGCTAACTCGTCGGAGAGTGTCACCGGCAGCACTTCGGATTGAACTTTTCCAAGAGCCTCGGACGGGCGAAAGAAAATGCGCGGGAAGAGAGGACGGCAGAGCCGGAAGATGCGGCTTTCTCGGGACAGCAAAGCTCTCCGGGAACGATTAAAATCCCGCCGTTTCTGCCTCCCTCTTGCAGGTTCCCATAAGATAAGGGATAATAAGTACTTGTCTTTTCATTCTTTTAATAAACGCGACTGATGATTTGTGAAAGTCTTCGACTCGCATTTATTATATCGCATGCGTACTGTTAAATACGTATTTCAACCCTATAAAAATTTAAGATTTGCCAGAAAATTTTATTTTGTTACTATTACTACAGACACATTTTTTATAATTGCTCTGGACTGACTCGCTACATTTGTCTTTCTGGACTGAGCGACTGTAATATAACATTTCTATTTTTGTACATCTTAATTGCAATCTTGTTCTATTTATCACTCTTTCCCTCCATCACCGCGTTCTTTATGCTTATCCTTAGTGAAGGCTTAGGTACGACGTCATGAGCTTTCCCTCGGTCGAAAAGGACGTAGCTTAAACCTGGATCTGCAGTCCAGGTGTGTCAGTTCTGGCATCCAGATGTTAAAATAACTTTGCTTAATCCTTAGCTCTGATGTTAACACGAGAAATGTCTCGTTTCTCTAATCGTCATCCAGATGTGAAATGTCCACTTTCCTTATTCGCAAATTATTTTTAACGCGGCGAAGCAAATAGTTCAGATTTAAACGGTCGGATTTAGGGTGCGCGATTCACTTGGCGCTCCAAACGCTCTTGGAAACATTTCATCCTTGTTGTTTATCAAATGTTGAACAAGGATAAAATGATACTCTGAAGCGTTTGAAGCGTCTAGTGGATCGCACCCTTAGTGTTAACAGCAAGTGTTGGCGCTGAATTAGGTTTGAAATAAACGTCATTAAATGTAACTCAGAGGAAAGCAATTCCTTCAGAGTTTCACAACAGAGTTTTGCGCGCGCAAGCACATACCTTCTCTAGATACCGATTTACGAGTATGTTTTGCAACTTTTGTTATAGTAATACCGCTTGGAGGGTCTTCCGATGCAATAAAAACCTAGTCATTCAATTCGTCCTCTATCTCCCTGAAAGGTAAAGGACTTTTCTCGTCGCTCTCGCTCTTCCTCGGCTAACGCGTTTTTTCTCCAGCGCATACGGGCGATAGAGCGGCGAGAGGCTTTGTAAAATCGGCGGATGCGGCGGCCTCTCCCTCGCCGGAGGAGTGACTTCGTGCTATTGACATCCGCTTCTCGTGGTATCGACATCCCGGTACATGCCCGCCCGTGCCGGGAGCACGATCTCGCGTCACTTCCAGAGAACGAGAGCGCGAGAGAGAGCTAGAGAG